CTGTTCTCATGACAGTTTCTTCTTGGCCATTAGGCAGTGGGGAGGCCGAGAGGTGGTCTGTCTTTGTGGGAGTTGTTCCTTGGGCCGAGATAGGAGGGCCTGGCTTCCAAGCTGGAGAGTTTCTACTCTCAGCAAGTCCTGAAGCTGAAGGCGGGGGGGCGGGGTGGGGGGGGCACATCAGCCTGTTTCCCTCTGCGATGTTTCCCTGAAATAAGGGAATCAAAGCCTCCGGCCTCTTCTGGACCAAATTCTTTGCCTCCGTCGATGGCCATGCAAGGACTGGACTAGAGGCCTCTGGGCAAGGACGGAACTAAATCTCCAGGCTTTGGGTGTGAGGTCACCCTGGAGGGAAGTTGGTGTCACACGTCACAGTCTATGTGTCCACTGGCTCGGTGAACACGCAGTGGCTGCCTGGCTTCTGGCGGGGGCTTAACCTCAGGTGGAGGCCTTCCAGCCTGGCCTTACCCCAGGGAGTGGACCGGGAGGTGGAGGAGGTGGCCATGTAGGGGGTCCTGGCCGGAGCTGGGAGCTGCTATCAGGTCCATGAGGATGTTGCCCGTGGTTGTGATTTCTACCCGCAGCTCTGCCATCTCACACCACCTGATAGGTAACTGCCCAGGGCCTTCCTGCCCAGCAGCCTCCGGGAGGGTCCCTCTGCCATGCCTGGGCCACCCTCACTGTCCCGGGAGCCAGATCTCACTCCCGTCTCGGGCAGTGCTGGGGAGCTCATGGTCCCCAGAGGAGGGGCTCAGCGCTGCTTCTCAAACAGGGTGGCAGGCTGGTGCTGACAACGACGCTCCTGAACGTGGGTGCGCAAGCATCCTTGTCTCCTGTCCGCGGGAGGCAGGGCTGGAAGTTGGCCTTAACTGCTCCAACTTTTCTCTTTGCTCCCATTTTGGAAGACCTCAGTGCGTCTATAGTACGCACATGACTTCCTAGTGTAAAGATCCAGCTAACGCCTTGGTAGCGGCGTAAACCAAACAGCCTCCCAGGACACCTTTCCTTGGCTTAGAACTCAATCGTCTCCTTACGCAGAACGACAGCGGGCGGTGTGACGGATACACAGTCTGGAAGGCTTATTTTGGGAGGAAAACCCAAGTTGCAACATGCTTTCCTGAAACTGAAGGCCACGGGCCCCTGGGCAGCCGTGCTGGGAGGCGGCCCCTCAGGGTGGGGAGCGCGGACTAGACCCCAGGCACGACCCCGGCCCGAGCCCTTGAGAGGGCCAGCCCCAGGACAGCCAGATGGCCTGCCCCAAGTCAGCATGGCCCCCAGGGAGCTCGATCTGCTCTGGGTCCCCACGGCCAGACCGTCAGGGCCTGTCAAAACCATCCAACTCTGGTCCGAGCCATTTCTTTGGAAATGAGGAAGAAATCGCTTCAGAAAACCTGGAGACTGAGTACAAGGGAAGTGTCTGGAAGGCTTTCCGTGCGAGCACAATGCCTGGGGCTGGGGGCTGACGGACTGAGATCTGTCCCCTGAGCAGAACAAGGTCGTATAAGCCTCAGGCACGCGGAGTCGCCCCCAAGCACCTGCCTCAGGGCTGGAGGGGGCTGTGCTGCTCACGCGGTAACAAAAGGGCCCTGAGACGGGAGGCAATGGCCGTGGGTCGGTCCCCACAGAGACGCTCACAGTCCCCGACTCTGACTCTCCGGTTGAGATGCTGAGGCCCGAGGGCAGCTCAGGGGCTTCAGTCAGAGCTGGGCTGTGGGGAGGGCTCGTGGGGCCCCTGGGGAGGGGTCTGCTGCACCCGCGATGCGCCTGGTTTACCGGCACCAGGGTGGTGCCCCCGTTTCCCTCCATCAGCCCGGGGTCCCGGGGTCCCGGGTGTCAGCAGGACAGATGGCTGTTTTTCACGTCGCTGCCAGTGGCTGGGGAGGGAGGCTCAGAGCAGACACTCGCAGGTGGAGGGTGAGAGCAGACCCTCAGCACATGCTTCCATGCACACTCAGTGCTTTTCCAGGCGCCAGGAGTCTGACTTCACAAGCCCCAGCCCCTGGGACGGTTGGTGCAAGTTCCAAGTGGGGAGGGCGGCTCTGGACAGGCCTCTGGGTGCTCCTCCACTCCTCAGGTGGGTGGCCCCACAGTGGCCTCTGCAGGCTGTGAGGGGCAGGCGGGGGCTTAAGGAAGCCGGTAAGAGCAGCTGCCAGGCGTGGGAGCGGGGCGTGCCTGGCTCTGCCTGCGTCTCCAGGCCTGGACGTGCAGGTGCAGGTGGGACAGGGCCGGGGCCAGGCACGGCTCCCTGCTGCCCACTCCGGGAGCCCTTCCGCCTCCTTAGTCCAAACGACCTCTGGGTGATGGGGCTTTTGGAGGCCCAGCGTGCGGGGCCAGGAGACCTGATGGGGGGCCGGGAGGAGGAGGCCCCGTGTCCCCCACGGAGTCGTCTTCTGTGCTGTGTGTGCACCTGCTCCTCGTTTGTCCTTGGAGCCTGTGCTTTTCCGACTCATCTTGGGTCAGCTCCTGCGTGGACTTGGGCTCCCCGCCACCTTCAGGTCAGCCCTTGAGTCAGGCTGGGGTGGAAATAAGAGAAGCAATGCGTCTCCTGGAATCAAAGGGTTCCTCGTGGGAGCCCCATTCTGGAAGGGCCTCCAAGCGCTGAGCCTGAGCCTGCTTGTTTCTTGACAAACAGCGAGTGGGGGTTTCTCACCCTTCCTGCAGAGTTTGTGCAGAGACAGACAGAAGGTGGAATGTTCCGGAAGGTCTGGGTGCAGCCCGTCAGTCTGGCATCGCTCACCAGCTGAGTTTCTGAGCCTCGGGGGGAGGATGAGGAACGTGTCGGTGCTGAGTTGCTGGGCCTGGCACCACGGCTCCCAGCGTGGCCGCAGCGGGCAGCCCTGTCTCCTCCAAGCTTTATTTCACGGCCCTTTCTTGTATCTGAAAACCATTTAGTGCCACTGGGCGCTTTGGCCCTTTCCCCTGACTGGTGCTGTTTTCTCTCAAATAAACATAGCCTCTTTCTTTTTTTAAGTCCAGAAAGTAATTGCTATATTAATGTTTTTTAAGGGAATAAAGAAAAGTCAGTAAACCTTTGGGTTTTTTTAAATTTGATCTAACCTCTTTCTTGAAATAATGAAGAATTTGACCTGCTGGGGGAGACATAGTGAAGACACGGCAAAGGCAGAGGCCCGTCACTGGAGGCCCCAAGGCTCAGCCCCAGGGCTGTGTCTGCAGAGCCTGGGGATGGCGCCCCCTGCAGGTGTCGGAGCATGCATCCCTGTCCGGCTTGTACACAGGGGCCGAGTGCATCTAGCAAGAACAGCATCGAAACATGTATATTATCTAGGGTGAAACAGATCACCAGCCCAGGTTGGGTGCATGAGACAAGTGCTCGGGCCTGGTGCACTGGGAAGACCCAGAGGGATCGGGTGGAAAGGGATGTGGGAGGGGGGACCGGGATGGGGAATACATGTAAATCCATGGCTAATTCATTTCAATGTATGACAAAAACCACTGCAATGATGTAAAGTAATTCGCCTCCAACTAATAAAAATAAAAGGAAAAAAAAAAACTAAAAAAAAAAAAGATGTGGAGGGCGGGCCTGCTGCCTTTGTTCCACCAAAAGAGAAAAGCCAAACGCTGCTGAAAGTTTCTATTTATCCCCTGAACACCGAAGCCCTGGCCTCTCGCCCCCCAGGGCTCTGTGCTGGGTCTGGGATTTCTGGCAAAGTCTCTGCCTGTTGGCGGAGTGTGTCTGCTTGCTGATGGTGATGTGACCCGTGGAGGCGAGGGCAGGGCTCCAGGTGGCTTCAGGGCTCAGGGTGCAAAGAGGTCCTTGTCTGCCCCCACATCCCTGCTGCAGGGTGACTGTGTACCTCAGCCCCCATGCCTTCGCCCCAGGAAGGAGTTTGGGGCCAGCCTTGGCTTCCTCCTGGCCGAGTCTGAACCAGCTGATGCCCACGAGCTGCAGAGAACATGTGCCTCCAGGGGGCTGGGCCCAAACTGCCTTCCTGGGGGCGGGGATGCTGCTTTGAGGAGCCACTGAGGGGGCTCTCTGTGCAGTGAGCATGGGACCACGCCTGAAACAGTTCCCCTTACTCCAGGGGCGGCACCCCTCAAACCCCCTGCAGCCTGGAGTGGAGGTTGCATTCACCCCCGGGGGCTTGTCAACAGTGACTCCCACATAGCCTGCAGCCCAGTGTCTGCCCAGGGGCCTAGCGCCTCTGAGCCTCCTGTCCTGGGCCTCCGCGGCCACCCTGCCAGCCTTCTTGGACAGGCTTTCTGGAGCTGTCTGTCAGGCACGCCTGCTCCCCCTCTGGGGCTTGCCGGGTCTGGGGTCCCGTGGCCCCACCATCACATGGGGTGACAACCTGTCTTCTGGCTCTGGGGTCTCAGCAGTGGGCGCCTGTCCCACCTGCCTCCTCCCCACTCCTGCCCCTCCCCTGTGCATTTGTAGAGGGTCCCTGAGCCCCCACCCGGCGTCCTGCTCCAGCACCAGGCGTCCTCCTCCCGTGTCATCCCAGGGCGGAGAGCCCGGCGCTGGGACATGGGGACATGGTGCCTGCTGGGACCTGCAGGCTGGCAGTGGGTGGGGCCCCCGGGAGCGGGTCTGAGCCAGATGGCACCCCGCGCCTCCCCAGGGTCAGCCCAAAGTCCCTGTGCTCCCCATCCTGCGCTCTGAGGGTCAGCTGAGAAGAGGACCGACCACAGGCTCCTCCTCTGCCCAAGGATGCTCACTGGGCTCCTGCCTGGAAGCGCTCATCCACCTGACATTTGCTGCGCACGCAGTCTGTTAGGCGCTGGTTCTTACAGCAGATGGGCCACAGTCACAGGCCGCCCCAGGCTGGGCCAGGCCTGCCGCGGGCGTCTCCCGGCCCACAGCGCCCGCGGCCCTGCAGGGCGCCCACCCAGAATCGAGGCCCCGCCTCCCTCGCGAGGCCCCTCCTCTCGGTCTCCGCGCGTCCCCAGGAGCCGCCCCGCGGGGGAGACCTGCGTGCCTCTCCGAGGCTCCGGGGCGGCAGCCAGCCGGCCGTGTGGCCGCGGGCGGGGAGGAGCCGTCTTACCTGGTACATGTTGCACAGCCCGGGCGGGCTGCGGGCCTGGGGGCCCGGGGGGCTCTTGCTCTGCCTGAGCCACGGGACCTGCCAGAGGGACAGAGTGGCGCCTGAGTCCGCGTGGGCCCGGGGTCGGGCCCCACGTCCTCCGGCGGCGTGCTCCTGACCGCGGGGCGGACCCGGGCGGGGAGGAGGGCTGGAGGGGGTGAGGATGGGGGGACGAGGCCTGGTGAGAGGATGGGAGGCCGGCCAGCCGGGGGCTGGGTGTCAGGGGGCACGCGGAGCGAGAAGACAGAAGGGGGTGGCCCCCCGAGGACCGACAGGACCACAGACAGACCGGAGGAGAGGGAGGCTCAGGGGAGCGTTCTGCCCTAGCACCTGCTCTGCAGCTAGCTTTGTGGCCACCTTCTCTTAAACAGGCTGCTGGCACCAGACTCATGGGATTTCCAAGACAGCTCCAGGCCAAGAGCTGAAAGGGCCTTTCCAAGTTCGCAGAGGAATGGATTTGACACGCTGCTGAGTTTTACTTTATTATTCTTTTCCTTTCAGAGTGAGTGTGTTAGCTTCTGCCCAGGACTGACACGTCTTTTTCGCTCTGTGGGGGTCACCGTGACTGTCACGCTGGACCCACTCGGTTTGCTCCAGAGTAAACGGAGGTCATCGTAAGGGCAACAGAGTGTCCCTCCGGCAGACCACTTGCAGACCATTCTTCTCTGCTGTTGGTGACATTTAGGAGCCTAATATTAATAGGAACTTAATAGCCCTTCGTGAGTTATGACTCAATGTAAACTTTATTATAAATCTTCCTCAATGGTATTTGCTCTGAGTGCATTTTTCCTATTCTATTACCTATGAGACAGTTGCCGAATTGAGCAGCTTTGAGGGATGTGATAGGACTAAGGACAGGGCCTGCAGGAAGGGCCTCTGATGGCGATGGCAAAATGGTGAAAGAGAGAGAGAAAAACAGAGAGACAGCGGATGCCTTACAGAGGTCAAGAGATGAAGTCAGTGTAATAGATGTCAAGAGATGTCTTATACCGACGACAGATGAAATGGATTTTTTAAAATGACGTGAATAGCTGGTTATGCACAGAAATAAGCGGTAGTTGTGACACGGGGAAGCGCTATGGTGTTCTAGAAATATCATTGCAAAGTGAACAGAGTAGAATTCCAGAGGCAAGTCCGTGGTGAACCTGTGCTTGGCTGGGTACCTCGTGTTCAGTTTTTTATACAGGTGAGAGGCATGCTCTGTGCTAGCAAGCAGTGCGGGGCGCTGGGTGCTTAACAAGTGAGACACCGGGTGTCTGTTTAGAAGCGCGCCTCGGTGGGTGAGTGGGAGGGTCCTCTGCCTCTCTGCGGCGTGGCTGCTCCCACCGAGGGTGAGACCCTCCAGAACGGCCCGGGGACAAGTCAATGCTGGCACCCGGTCCACAGACAAAGGGAACTTTCTGGTCCTCTGTTTCAGACTGCATCCCTTCTCCATGACGATTTTGTCTCTGCAGCAATTTCGGGCAGCTCTGGGGGCTGTGATGAGTTCCCCACTGCCATGCCTGGACTCCTGGGTGTTGGTCACAGAGCCTGGGACTTGCCCGAGGCTCTGAGACGGGGCGGCCCCCTGGGTGACCCCCCAGTGACCAGCCCCTCCCGTAGCAGCAGGAGGGACAATGATAGCTGAGGAGGGTTCTCCACCTCGTGTCCAGATACACTCAGGGTCAAGGGGAGGTTATCTCCAGCAGAAGAAGTGGGGGCGCAAGCCTGGGTAGGAGGAGAAGAGGCAGGAAGGTGTCACGTGTCACCCCTCCCCGCCTTTTACTGCTTTTAATGAAGCAGGATGATTTCTGGGCACTTCAAAGTGTGCTGACGTCCGTGATGGAAAAACTCACTCAAAGATAACCTATTAACCAGAGTGTGACAAGAGGCTTCTCCAGTTCTGCACCTTAGTGATTCGCATGAGAGATTGAGGGTGTGTTTTCTTCCTAATGATGAGATAGTCCCTCAGATGTGAAGCAAAGCTCTCTGTCAACCAATAAGAATTGGCCGTTCCTTTTGCCAAAAGGAAAATCGATGATGGAAATCAACACCAGAAACTGGAAGTGAGTTTAACAGGAGATGAGTTAAGAAGAGTGTCTGGTGGTAGGGTATGGGTACAGATGAATGGAAGACAAATCAAAATTAATTCCATGCCTTTATGCTTACTTCTGGGGCTTCCCTGGAATCTCATTCAGTAAAAAATCTGCCTGCAATGCAGGAGACTCAGGTTCGATCCCCGGGTCAGGAAGATCCCCTGGAGGAGGAAATGGCAACCCACTCCAGTATTTGTGCCTGGAGAATTCCACAGACAGAGGAGCCTGGCAGGCTACAGTTCATGGGGTCGCAAAATGAGTCGGACACGACTGAATCACCCTAGCACAGCACACATGTTTATTTCTGGCTTACCAAGACTCCCAGCTTGCCCTCCCCCTCACACAGTCACTGTCTGCCTCACACTCCGACCTCAGATTCTCCAGTGTTGCTCTGACCGCCTGGTCTGCACCCTCCGGGGAGTCCAGCTGGAGGCCGTTTTTCTGTGGTCACTCACTCAACAAATGCTGTTGAGGGTTCCATGTCCCAGACACACAGGAGGGTAGAGACACTCCCCCAAAGTGTGCAGGATGGTGTTTTCGAGAAACACTAACAACATCAGGCAGAATGAGAACCGTCCTCACCGAAGGATCAGAGAACAGAAAGCTCTGTGTAAAGCTGATGCTTGAAAGCTGAGCGCAGAGGGGGTGCGCAGGCCCCAGACTCACCTGTCGCTTGGGTGCTGTGTCAGGAAGCCTCGGAAGTACCAGTCACACATGCTTAGTAAGGGAGGGACATTAAAAAAGATAACTTAAAAAACTCACGTGCAATGAATTAGTCTGTTAAAATGTTTAATAAATGCATAAAAAGGGAGAGATATATAAAAAGCAAAAGGTCATCACAAAATCAAATTGGAATACAGACAGCAGAAGGCAATCAGCATTAAATACATCAACACAATTTACAAACGTTTTGCTCGGAGGACCAGCACATCGCCACCCACACAGGGGCGTCACATTCTGATTGACCTCTCCTCTGGTTAGAGACAGCGGAGCACTGAGGTTGTGGAGGCCGCAGAAGGACACGGCGAAGCACTGGGAGCCAATCAATAACTGATCCATAATCGATCAGAAGGATGACATGAATACTTTGGAAGGAATTCCTGTAGTGAATCTCAGCAAGTGTTTCTTTCAGTGCGGAAACAAGTACCCCAGCATAAAGAGGTTTTTCTCTAGAAAGGTCTCCGGCCAGATCTCTTGGCAAACCGATGTGCTGAGTGGCTGGGTGGGTGCCAGGAAAACTGACACTGAGATTCACGGTTCGTGTGAGGTGAGCGGACTCACTCCCAGCAGAGGTGAGTGAGTGCAGCTCTACTGGCCCCCAGCCCGGGGCCAGACTCACACGGAGTGGGGCACCTTACGCAGACCCTTCCTGCCGTGTCCTTCACGTCACCCTCAAATGTCACCCTCGCCGGGGGCTACAGAAGACATCTCCAGCATTAGGGTACCATGTTAACAATGAGGAGTTAGCAGTTACCGTACAACTAAAATGTGAGTGAAGGGAAGGGGCAGGAAACAGAACACTGTGACTAATTTTCAAGACTGCTTGTTGCCAGGGCCCGAAATGGCAGCAAAGGTTCTCACCTCCCACAGTCAAGACCAGAGGCAGGGAGGGGAGGCTGGACACGGACGGCCGTGGGTGCTGAGACCGGCGGTGCACAGACGCAGCTCTGACTATGAAGTCAGCAGCGGGAAACAGGTATAGCCGCCGGGACTGAAGCCAGCTTTACAACGCCTGCAGGAGGGCGGGCTCGCTGGAGGAAGGCGGCACAGACCTTCTCCTCAAGTTCCTCGGGGGCTGCCCAGGTCACTGCGGCCACCTCGGTTATTGTCCAAGCTAAGGGGTCGTGATTTTGGGGTGAAGCCTGAGGGTACAGCGCTGGCCCTCCCTCACAGGGCCCCGTGGTCCAGGGACTTGGAAACCTTCTCTTTAAAGGCAACAACTCCGTCTTTCTTTCCTTCCGCAACAAAGGCGCATGGTCTCCATGAATGCACTTTTCATTTAAGGCTCTCAAAAGATTATGCCTCCTCAAGGAATTTGTGTGTGCTTTCCCTGAATGCCAACTCCCGGCTGCACAAAGGGTGGGTGTGTTGGTGCATTCCCAGGACTGGGGGCGCTGCTCACCCCGGGGCCCCCACGTGTCCTCGGAGGAGGGAGACAGGCGACAGACAGCCCCTTTCCCAGGAGCCAACAGCTCCATTCGGCTTCACATGCTTCAGTCCAAAAGACCTTTCTAGCATCTAATAAAATGAGGGCTCTCCTGGTTTATCAACAGAGCAAAGCAAAAATAAAATCAAAACCAAGAAACAAACCCACACCAATAAAAACCACAGGCTTCTAGGCATTGCAGGCATGTCAGTGGGTATAGAGTGTATTATGCTCACACCTCCAGTGTTTAGAAGTGAACAAAAGCATCCACAGGAAAACAGGTGAGCTGAAAAGTATGTCCAGGAAGCTCCACTGCATATTTCCAGGAAGGCCCACTGCATATTTTCAGCAAAGATACTTGACAGGAATGTATCCTAGCCAGTGTTTGTAATAAGCAACCATGGGTATGATTTTACATTCAAATTCTAATGGATTTCATTGGCATCAAAGGGCAAAGCTGTTCATTTAAAAATCTTCTTTATTCAAGACCCAGGGGTGAACAGAATTGATACTTTAAAGTATCAATAGTATAAAGTACTATATCAGTTATTTCAGCATTGTTTTTAGTTTTAAAATCCTGTGAAATGTTTTAATCTAGATCGATGATAATCTAGCAAGGCTAGTTTGTGACATGGATGTCTACTTCTGAGGCATCTTTTCTTTGAAAATGTTGAGGAATATGAGACTTTATGCAATCAAAGTTGAACTTTTACACAAAGGAAGAAAGACATGTATGTCTAATATAGTCATTTTGAGATAAGATCACAACAATTGACATAAATGCTTTCACAGTCTGATTTTAGCTTAACCTGTTGCACTGAAATGAAACTTGTTTTATAATAGATGCTCTCCAGCTGTTTAGTCTCCTGCAACTGTATTTTTCCTTTGGCTTAAGCAGAATAGTTTAAAGTTTCGAAGCTGGTGACACTGCATGCATGTGGAGTGCTTTGCATAATAGCAAGACTGGGTTAGGCAGTCAGGATCCGGCGTGGTTTGATAGCATCTTGGATTGAAACTAGCATTAGACACGGATCAGCTGACTCACGTTTCCGGGGGAGGTAAGACTGCCCCAAAGTACGGGATGCAGAAGGAAACCATCGGGAAATAAACTCTAGAAGCCCGGAAGGTACACTGAGTTATTCACCAGAAAGCCACGTGACAGAGCTCAGCTCCAAGCAGGTGCCTGAAAACCTCAACACACCATGACACCATACAGGCACAGCGGACATCTGTTTTATCTTCAACAACCTCAGGATCGTCAGTCATTTTAAGAACTGTAGCTAGAGACTAAAGCAAATCTGAGAAATTCCCGTGTGCCCAGGGCCCCAGTGTTGAGGACGTCCAGGGCCTCTGCCCACACTCGGCTCAGAAGTTTCTTGCCTCCCTGGGCCTTTCAGGATAAGCACAGGACACAGCCAGAAGCAAAGGGCATCTTAGGAGTTTTGTGAGCACACCCAGTAAACCAGGGGCTTTTATGGAAAGCCTCACTCTTTCTAAAATCCCCCAGCTATCCAACACTCTAAAATCAGGTGCCACGCGTGCCGTGTATTTGCTATGCGATTGTCACTCGGGGATTAGCTCTTCAATGAAATGTCAACCATAAAAGATCTATTCACCATCAAGTCCAGTAGCTACTGCTGCAACCCAGACCACAATAGGAGCAATTTTCTCTTGTGATACATTTTTATCTACAGAACATTTAAATAATTAAAGCGCAAATTCTATATTCAAACGAACAGAGTAACAAAATCATACAATTTTGATTCACAGACACACTTCATTTATTCCCCTCTGCGACTCAGACAAAAGACAACTTCTGCTCAAGGCGAATTTAAATTTGTCCCAAAGTCCTCAATTGCAGTATTGTCACAAAGCAACACGACACTGGCGGCACTGAGTCCAAGAACAAACCAGCTCAGCCCAATGTTGACCCCGGGGCGCGGGAGCAGAAGCGGAACCGGCACTCAAGCCCCAGGCACGAGACACAGGAGACCCCAGCACAGAGCGCCCTTTCTGCGGTGCCAACACCCATGCCACCCCAGAGATGCGAACTCAGAATGTTCTCCACCCCGAGCCACGTTCCGACTGCATCCCTGGTGAGCGGGGGAGGAGGGTGGGAACTTCAAAAGCCGCGACTGAGGGGCTCGTAAGCATCTCCAGCAAGTCGCTGCGCCTCCTCTCAGGGCTGCGTCCACCCGTGGGTCCCCTTCCCGCCCCACTCACTCCTCCGGGGACGCCCGTGTCATGTGCCTTTACTCCTCGGAGCTCACCTTGCCTGAGCCCCGTTTGGGCGCACCCCTGTCCGTGCCAAAGAAGCGGCCAAGGGAGTCGAGGATGCCCGTGTCTCTGTGTCTGGGGAGGAAGCCATGCCTGGCGTGGTCCATGGTGCTCGCCGAGGCCAGGTACTTGGATCTCTGGGAGGGTCTCTTCTGGGCCGCCATCGCGTCCACCGCCCCGGGAGCGGCCGCGCTGTCTTCCTGGATGGTCTGGAGCTCGTCTGATTCCGAGGGCCGGTCTTTGAAGGTGTTGTCCTCCCGGCCCGGGGCATCTCGGGAAAAGAGGCGGACCAGGTGGGGGCGGCCCCCCGGGTCAGCTGGGCTGGCTTCGGGCCAGGCATTCTTCGGGTCCGCTGTGCGCTTGGAGTCTGTCACCGCCGTGTCCTGCGAGGGGGCCCCATTGTTCGGGACCACATCTGCCGCTCCTGCAAACAACAGCGAGATGTGAATGCGGCTGTGCAGAGCGGACCGTGGACAATGCCCCTTTTTTCCCGGCTGGCGAACTGGCCGTCTCCTACAAAATCCACGGAGGGTGTGGGCGCCATGCAGCTCTGTGTGGCCCCTGACTGCCCTGGGAAGGACCCGCCCGGCCTGAGCCTCTCTCTCGGTGGTGGCTCTGCATCTTAGGGGCCCTGGGGATCATCTCAGGGGCTCCGGACTGGGCACCTGGCCTCCCGGAGCAGACATGGCCATGCACAACATCACCCCTGGGTGCTGCCACTCCTGCCCTGGGAGGCTCCAGGGTTCTTGGCACCTTGAGAGCACATTTATCATCTAAGCGGCCGCTGGTGCCCAAGCCAAGGGTGTTGGGAGCGTGTATTTGGCAAAAAGTATCTTTAGTGTTCTCAGTAAAAATGGAACCTCCCACATCTTTTCCAATTCATGTGCCTTAAAGAAACGGGGTGTTTAGAATTCTTTACCTCCCGGAGTCCACAAGAGGCCTCTTGCAGGAGACAGCCACTCATTCAGGACGTTTTTGTTGGGCTTCTCTGTAAGCCGTGACAATCAGAGAACTTGAGTGGGAAGGGGGGTCTCATGTTGTACACCACTCTCCCTTACCTTTACACAAAAATTCACAGCATTTCTCTCAACAATGGCAGGCCCTCATCTTGCCCTCAAATTACAAAGGTGGGTATAATTGAACAGCCGGGGGTTTGTTTCCTCTCCAAAGTTTATTACGCATCGACAAAAAATGTGGGTATACTCACACTTTCCTGTAACAGCATCCATCCATCTAACTGCCCAGCAACCTATTCACTGACATTTACCAACAGCATCCACCCCCCAACTCATCCACTTATCCATCCGTCCATCCACTTATTGACCCATCCATTCATCCACCCAGCCTTACCGAGTACCTAGCAAATGTAATGTCCTGCACTAGTTCAACAAAAATATTGTCCTTGTCTCATGAACAGAGATGAAAATGAACAACACGAGTTGAATAGTGTCCTCTAGATGGTGTGTCCACACCCTAGCCCCAGCACCCATGGATGTGAACTTCTCTGGACCTTAGGTCTTCGAAGATGTTATCAGGTCAAGATGGGGTCACACTAGAGTAGGGTGGGCCCTGACACAGTGACTGGTGTCCCTGTGAGTAGAGGGCATCTGGATGCAGATACATGGAGATGAGGCCACGTGGTGTGGAAGCAGACTGTGGCCTGGTGTGTCCACAACACAGGGTCTCCAGGACACAGGGGGGCGGGAGACCCAGGGCAGACCCTCCCCAGAGACGCCAGGGAAAGCATCCGGGTGCAGGTTTCTGGCCTCCAGAGCCGGGAGAGAAGAGATCCCTGCTGTGTCAAGTCCCTGGTAGCGGTCGTTCGCTGTGCCCGCCATAGGACATAGACACGAGTGATGAGAGCAAGGGAAGCGGGACGCGGGTGTCAGGACGGCCTACTGCGGGGCAGTGTGAGAGCGTGGGCCGCTCGGGGCTGGGGTGCGGGGCAATGTGCTTCTGCAGAGAAGGACGCTCGAAGACAGTCCTTGGGAAGGAGCTCGGCGTGTTCACGTGGGAGCAAGGAGGCTTGGAGCCCCGGAGGGGCAGGTGTGCGGCCTCAGGGAGACGGGGCTGGCCAGTGGGGGCCGGGAGGGGTGATGGTGGGGCAGGATGCGGTGGAGGGGGGCGGGGAGGGGGGCTGGTGGGAGGAGGGGCTGAGGGGAGGATGCTTCAAGAGACAGGTCAGCCAGCCTGTGCAGAGCTTCAGGGGTTGAGGTGAAGGGATTTTTTTTTTTTCCCCAGAAATTGCCCAGAGACAGTCAAGGAACAGGGTGCGGGCAGGACCAGACGTCAAGGGAGAGGAAGACTCAGCCTGAGCGCAGGTGTGGGCGAGCACAGGTAAGAGGGGCTGAGCCAAGGCAGCGACAAGGTCCTGTCCGGGGCGTCAGGAAGGGTCGTCCAGTCTGGGTGCTGGTTGCATGGAGGGCCTCTCCTTTCATCACACGTATTCAGGGGAGGCTTTACATCTATAACATCTACGTCCACAAATATATAAATGACAAAAACTGAATGGGTGCACACTCCTTTAACAAAATCAGAGGGGTCAAGAGACTGTCCCATGGGTGACATTCATCGTGCAGTCAATATATTGACCTATGTTCCCAAAGCGGAGTACAGATATCGGAGACCAAGTACCAGGTAAACAGCCAGGCCCCGGGGTCCTGGGGTCTTTTGCCTGCTCCTAAGAGGGTGTGCCTTATATCAGCCACGCTACAAGCCTTACAAATCCACCACTTAAAACGTGGCACATCATTTATGGCACTGATTAAATGAACCACACGAAAGCACTCAAATTTATCATGTATCAGGTCCCTCACTGCCTCGCACCATCCTGAGAAAGCACCCTACAGAATGCTGTGGCCAGCACCATGCTGTACATTTTTACAGGGACTCAGCGCTAATTTATAGGTTGCAACAGAAAGGGTCTGCTTTTCTTGCTGTGCTTTAGATTCTGTGGCTAATATAAATTAATGCAAATGTGAATGGGAAACAATTGCTATATTGTACATGGTTAAATGCATTAACGAAACACAAGCGCATCTGAATACTAATATTTTTACAACAGTTGGCCTTTGTGTCCCTGAATATGGTTATTTGTGAGGCACAGAGAAGGGCGTTTGTGTCCTGGAAGTTGCTTCTCCCGGGACGCAAGGAGCCCAGGGAGAAGCTAAAATCTGTGGATCTGCAGCATTTTGGGTAAGGACAAGTGCAGTGTTAATTTGTCAATTCATAACAGCTTTCATCGAAGGGGCAGAGTTCTTATTTAGACAGTAATTCTGGAGCAGAGCTCTGGTGCACAACGTGAGTGGCTCGGATCTGGCCGGGCCCCAACGGGCATTTATAATCTTTTCTCAGTTACTGTTCATATTCTACAGGAAATTGCAAGAAAACATCTTAAAAAAAATCACACCTCCATCTAATGGGTAAACCCACTCCAGGAAACTTAGGAAGTGCACTTTTGGGGGTGGTGGTATTAAAATCACGAATGTCTTTGAGAAGCTGAGGACCTAGTAAGTTGGACGGTGGTTTCTGGGGCACAGAGACCCCCCCCACCCACACCCCCCACCCCACAGACCAGGATGGTGACATGGGGCAGTGATGACTGTTTGGAGCAACTCACCCGTGTCACACACCCCGGGAAGGCTCCAGCCCAGGGTCTCACTGTGGCCACCTGGCCTGTGGGTCCTTGGCATCCCGCCCCTCCCCTCCCCCACCTGCTGCCAGCAGGCCAGGGTCAGTTTCTCCCCGGTTCCTCCCGATGCCCCTGACCACAGCATTTCCTCCTTCACTTAGCCCCGAGCCGCGTCTGCTCACGGCTCTGCTGGGCCCTGCAGCTTATGGAGCGGGAGCTGCTGGGCGCTCAGCTCTGGCGTGACCATGACCTTCACCGTTCCCAGGACCGACCCTGCCTCGGCCCTCAGGAGCATGCTCCCCCGCCCTCCAAGACAGGCTGCTCTGGCCTCTCAGTTCTCCCCCAGGCCCTGCTGTGTGCCCTGCTCCAGCCCGTCCCCCCGACCTTGACACCTGCCCTCCCAGTCCCCACCCACCGGGAGGTCTGCTCCGGGCAACTGGACTGAGCTTCTCTCAACGCAGCTTCTACGCGCTCAGCCTCACAGAGGGGCCACCTCAGGTCCCCCTAAATTGTTCCCAGCTGGCAGTGCTGTCCCTGAAGGCGGGGACCCTGCCGGACTTGTCCCCTTGGGTCACTGGGCTGGCATGAGGTACTAAACCCAGAAGTGCTGTCTCCCAGGCCGGACTCCAGCAGCAAGCAACAGAACCCAGACCCTGCTCTCTTCTCGGCTGGAAGAACTCAGTTCCCAGCATGGCAGCTGTTCCACCATTTTTAACAGAGAATTTCTTTCCATCCCAAAAGGATGGATGCCAGGGTCTAGAGAGCTCTGGCTTAGAAATGGATTCACCTGCACAACTGAATTCTTTCTGGCAATTTGCAGAGGTTCAGAGAAACCCCTCAGCGTGGCTCTGAGGTTCCGGATAAAGCCCGTAGCATCCCTGCCCTGCCTTTCTCCAAGTGCAAAGCTGAGCACAGGGGCTGGGTGAGTCACTCACAAGGAGCACGGCCGCCAAGCGGGGCTCATCTCCCAGGTCGTTTTGTCCACCTGTGTGCTGTACTGTCTGCAGCAAACCAGGCCATGTGGACCGCAGAGGAAGGCCCATGGCTGCCGCGTGTGCAGGGTCAGGGCCTGCAAGCTGTCACCAGGAGGGTCTCCAGAGGCTGACCTTGACCCCCTGCCCACCAGCCAAGGGCCCTGAGCCTCCGGTGGTGTCTGTGGTCATGAACAGGGAGGTGGGGCCACACGCTTGTCTCTGGTACCTTGAGGCTCCTGTAGCGGCACACGCGGGGACTGGGCATGTTGGGGGTCCCCCCGGGCCGCCCCTTCCATAGATCAGTGTCTGGTGAGGGTCCAGGAGGGAAAGCTGAGCTCTCACCGGAAGTTTTATAAGTGTGACAAGCAACCATACAGAGCAGGACATTTACGAGCCCATTTACTCAGGTGAGCAAACTGAGGCACAGCAAGGTGAAGCAGGACTCCACGGAGGAGGTGATGCTCACTCAGGCCCCAACTGCAGATCGCCCCCGGTTCTGGGTGCTCCATGCAGGCCCCCACTGCCTTTAACTGGCCCTAGGTTTTGCTTCTCAGGGTGACATTAACTGCAGATGACCGACGGCTGAGACATCTCTGTTTAACAGACAGGCACTGACCGGGAGAGATAGAAGGACTTCCCGGAGCCCAGCCAGGGCCTCCTCTGTGAGCAACAGGGCCCTGGATCCCCCAACGCTCTGCTGGGTGGGACCAACCCCCACACCCCCATCCTGCCCACCCCACAGGTATGCATAACCATCTACTCACAATTTACTACACCAGCTGTCCTTGGCAGAATGTGCTAATGCCTGTTGAACACCCA